TAAATCCATTCCCACCTAAGACTTGAAAAAGCAGCTTAGCTCATGAGGTTCTGAGAGCTGTTTTTCCAGCATCACTTGGGGGCCTGCTAAGCTGGGTTTTAGAGTAGTCACATGACATACAAGATGTGATCTGGCTATATAATATCAAATTTTTAGCCCTTCTCTCTTTGGGATAGACCTGAGTAATAAACTTAACTAGCTGTAGTAATGAAGCCAAAAATTAGGTTTCCTTGAACTGCTAAGCTAGAGAGAAAAACATGCATTGTTCTTTGGATCAGACTTCTGTAATGGTCTTGCCTAGACTAAATCAGAATACCATCTCTGACTTAAAATTTCAGTAGTCAATTAGTTGGAATGCATTTTTTTTCAGACTTTCTTCCGTTGAGGCTTTTTCATATTGGAAATTTGTCAGTTTGTATGTCTAATTTTATTGTAGAATAATGGTTCATCTGTGGTCTCTTTCTGTTCGAATCCTTCCTGCACCATAGCAAATTACTCTTAACTGAAAATACCACATGGTCCTGTTGGATTTTAAGAAACAGCGTCCAAGGGATGCAACCTCAACTCTTGGCCAACAAGACCCTCCAGATGGGCTTCCAGCCAGCCTTTCCAACCCGTGTTGGCAAAGAGAGAAAAAACCGAAGCCTGTGAGGATGCAGGGTGATGGGGCACTCTTCCTTCCCACTTGTTTTGGGGTCTCTGAGGGCAGCAGCCCAGCCCGACTATGTAAATGAAGGAGCCATTGCTGTATTAGTGCATTGCCACAACTCAGTTTCAGAACAAGAAACTGAAGGGGTGCCTCCTTCATTGAGGAAACTGGGCTGCTAGGTCGGTGACCGCTACAGAGCTGACCTGTCTTTTTTTTTTCTTTCTTTCTTTCTTTCTTTTTTTTTTTCCTTTTTTTTTGAGACGGAGTCTCGCTCTGTTGCCCAGGCTGGAGTGCAGTGGCGCGATCTCGGCTCACTGCAAGCTCCACCTCCCGGGTGCCAGCGATTCTCCTGCCTCAACCTCCCAAGTAGCTGGGACTACAGGAGCGTGCCACCACCCGCGGCTAATTTTTTTGTATTAGAGACAGGTTTCACCGTGTTAGCCAGGATGGTCTCCATCTCCTGACCTCGTGATCCGCCTACCTCGGGCTCCCAAAGTGCTGGGATTACAGGCGTGAGCCACCGCGCCCGGCCGGAGCTGAGCTTTCTAAGGGTCTTGGGAAGTGTGGCTTCCAGTGCTCCTGGAGTTCCAGAAGCGGAAGTGTTCAGGGATTGGTTAACCTTTAGCTACTGAGTCGTGATTACTCCAATGGGGCTGTCATTGATTGGCTGTCCCTCTGAAGCAGTCTCACTGCAGTGAGGCCGTTGTTGATTGGCTGGCCGTCTGGTGTGGCTTAGTTGATTGACAGATTTCACTGGCGTGAAGTGGTCGCTTTTCGGCTGGCCCTCTGATATGAGGTGGTTGTTGATTGGAGGGCGTCGATTGCCTGGTCTTCAGAAGCAGGTTCGGTTTTGTTTTGGTTTAATTTGGTTTGGTTTTTTTTTAATTGATGGGGGTGGTTATCGACCCATTAAAATAGGGTTAAACCCATTGCTGTGGCCAACCAATAGGCAGTCATTTCCTAGTTGTATGGGAACTTTTAATTTTCACGTGTCCTAGAATCTTAGAATTCTTGAGTTGGAATAAGCCTATCAAAATGCAGCCCACGCGTCGGACGGTTGGGCGGGTCGGGGAGGGGGCGGTCCACAGGCTTGGGCTCAAATCCTGACTGCCATTAAACAAGGCCCTCAATCTCTGTGACACAGTCTCCTGAAGGAGGACACCTCCCTGAAAGGTGGGTTTTCCCAAGATGAAACGCCTTGGCTTGTGGCAGGTGCGTATCACTGCTCAACTTTTACTTCCCATTGCATTTCGCAGAGCTCAGGGTTGCGGCCCAGGGGAAGCTCTGTGGGGCATTGTTTGTGGCTCAGTTCTCTCACTTGGTCTTTCCCATCTAAGACTCAGAAGAATTACATGGGAAGATGTAAAACTCCTTGGATGCTCAGGCCTCTTTCATAAAGATACTGATATAATTGGCTTGCAGTAGGGCTCAGGCAGTGGAATTTTTTTTTTTTTTTTTTGAGACGGAGTCTCGCTCTGTGGCCCAGGCTGGAGTGCAGTGGCCGGATCTCAGCTCACAGGCAGTGGAATTTTTAAAGCTTCTGTGTGATGTTCGGTGTGCATGAAAATAGATCCTGCCCAGCCAGCTCCTTACTTAACTGCTCTTCATGCAGTAGGAAATATTAATAAACAACTTTGATTGGCGAGATCTTGACTGGTCTTAAGCAATGGGCTGCTCTTGTTAAAACCTTGTGGAAATTGTGTAATTAAGAAAGAAATGTGAGGCCGGGCGCGGTGACTCACGCCTATAATTCCAGCACTTTGGGAGGCAGAGATGGGCAGATCACGAGGTCAGGAGATCGAGACCATCTTGGCTAACACGGTGAAACCCCGTCACTACTAAAAACAAAAAAATTAGCCGGATGCGGTAGCAGGCGCCTGTAGTCCCAGCTACTCGGGAGGCTGAGGCAGGAGAATGGCGTAAACCCGGGAGGCGGAGCTTGCAGTGAGCCGATATTGCACCACTGCACTCCAGCCTGGGCAACAGAGTGAGACTCCGTCTCAAAAAAAAAAAAAAAAAGAAAGAAATGTGGTATTCAGATGGAGTATTCTCTGAATATTCCATTCCTGTTACTGCTATTGCTCTTCTTGTTGTTACTTAGAAAATCTACCTTTATGACTTTCAAAAGTCTAATCTGACTTAAAGCTCAGGTTAGTGAGTTCCACATGGTATGCACTTGAGATTTTCTGAAATTGGATAACAAAATTGTCTCCAGTTCTGATAGGAGCTTTATGTAAACTTTATCCTCTTGAATATTGTATACATTATGCAAAGGCTTTCCTCCTTCCCAAAAGGTTTGTTATCTTTAAATTTGGAAGTTAATTCATGAAAGAAACATGTATTATTTATAAAACGTTGTTAGCATCTAGTAGAAAACACTTATTTAAAAATGGTATTTATGCTTCCCTGGAGTCAATGTGCTTAGGACCCCTGTAATCCTAAAGTCATCCCTATAAAATAATGAGAACTTCTATCAGGGAGGAAGGAGATTTTAGTCCAGAGTCTTTTCACCATTCATTTCTCCCTAATTTGGAGAAATGTCTAGTTAGTTTAAGGACTGAATATTGAATTTTTCTGCTTAAAGACTGCTGGTGCATCTTCTACCTAAGAAGTAGAGAGTTGCTAAAATAGTTGATTATTTTATTTATTCAGCCATACTTTTGCTATTTATTACTTACAGAATTGACTTCTCTAGATATATAATATACACATTTATTTATTGTTTTGATAAACTTTTCATATGTTATGTTCACTTTTGATGTTCCACATTTTGTAGATTTTAACAAATGTATAATGACAGATGTCCGCCATTATAGTATTGAACAGAGTAGTTTCACAACCCTAAAAATGCTGTGCTTCACCCTTGCATCCCTCCCTTCCCTCTTGCCCCAGGCAAGGGCTCATTTTCTTACTCTCTCCATAGATTTGTCTTTTCCAGAATGTCATACCATTTTAAAGAAAAAAATTATTCATGACAAGAACAGTAAGGCAGACTTTATTCAGAGGGACTACTACAGTAGGGTTTTGCGTCGAGAGAGAGATTGGGTTTGACTCCTAATATTAATACAGCAAGAAAGAGTGGGCATTTATAGGCAAGGAGCAAAATAAGGGAGTTGGCTGATGGAAAATTACTAAGAGGAAACATCAGGGTGGAGGGTGAGGATTCTGGTTAAACTGACCGAACAGGATTCTTCTGAAGGCAGGACAGAGTGATCGGCTGTCACTTGGGGGATGGTAGAGGATGAGGAAGCTGATCAGATGTTGAGGAGGATTCCAGCTAGAGCAGCGTAGCAGGAGAGTCTTGCAAAAATTAGGCAATGCAGAGATGGACGCGGAAGTACAAAAGTCAAGGCCTAATAGGAAGAAGATTCAAAGGAGTCTGGCTGAAGTTTGGTTAAGGATAAACTGTCAGAATCACACCGTGTGTAGCCTTTTCAGATTGGCTTCTTTCATCTAGCAATATGCCTTTAAGATTCCTCCGTGTCTTTTCATGGCTTGATAGCTCATTTCTTTTTGGTACCGAATAATATTTCATTGTCTGAATGTACCACAGTTTATCATTCACCTACTAAAGGACATTTTGCTTGCTTCCAAGTTTGAGCAATTATGAATAAAGCTGCTACTGACGTCCCTGTGCAGGTTTTTGTGTGAATGAAAGTTTTGGGGAAGAATTTTATATTTATAAAAAAGTTTCCAACATAGTACAGAACATTCCCATGTACCCTTTGCCTGGTTTCTCATTGTGTTAACATCTTAGGTAAATACAGTAACATCTTACTGGTGTGTTGTCCAAACTAAGAGATTGACAATTATTTATTATTATTATTATTAGACTTTATTTTTATTTCAGTAGTACTTCCACTAATTTTCTTTTACGGTTTCATGATCCAATCCAGGATACCACCTTGTATTAGTAAAATGTTAATTTTAATTTATAGGAGTAATTTGGTTATGTTGCATTTATTAAATATGTTGATAAGACACAGCGTATCCTGAGAAAATGAGTGTAAACCTAACAGTTATCAGGAGGCAGTGTTACTTAATGAAATGGACTCATTTAATCATAATGTTATTTAGAATTTTTTTCAAGTTTGTTTTTGTTAGAGGGTCAGATTTCCCCATGTGCAGCGAACAGTGACATAGGATTTGTTTTATAAGGTTGCTGTTTCTAAACCAAATACTAAAGCTTGTCGAAAGAAGGTCATTTTAAAGTCGAGCATTTCAAGACCCAGGAGAAAATCGGTTGCAGAGTTGTAATAAAAGCTGTCAGTGCCTAATTTTTCAAGTTGGTGCAAAGGATGAAGTGTCCGGGTAGTTCTCTAATGAGCATCTCCAAATGTTCTGCTGGCAGAAGGACTCCATGAAAATGACAGAAGAAGTGATTGTGATAGCCAAGTGGGACTACACCGCCCAGCAGGACCAGGAGCTGGACATCAAGAAGAACGAGCGGCTGTGGTTGCTGGACGACTCCAAGACGTGGTGGCGGGTGAGGAACGCGGCCAACAGGACGGGCTATGTGCCGTCCAACTACGTGGAGCGGAAGAACAGCCTGAAGAAGGGCTCCCTGGTGAAGAACCTGAAGGACACACTAGGTGAGTGTTCCACCCTTTGGAGAGAGGAAGCCTTGTGCATTTCAAGGGACACCGTTCATCTTTCTAGTTAGTTTGCTTTTTCAAAAAAAAAAAAGTCTGTTTTAAATGTTAACATCTTCGTAGATGTCTTTTTTAAAAATCTGAGAATTAAGAGATGAAAATGGAGAAAGAGGATGTTTGTCATTTCCTGGAGATTCTGGAGTTTGGGGTCTTGTGTATGGAGACACTTCTGTGTGCCTGGGACCCCTGCATGGGTATCTCCTTGTATCAAAACTTTAGAGGACCCTGACTTGGAACTCTCACCTCTAAGTCTACCCAGCTCTGCCAGTGTCGTGACATGAAGTTCTTTCTCTCTTATAAAATCCTGTCCGTTTGGCCTACATGCCTAGAGCAGGGGACAGCCAAAGCACTTTTTCCCACTCTGAAATGGATGCTGTGTCACACCACAGTCCCGGGTGCTGTTAGCTAAGAGGCCAGCTGTGTGACATCAGAGGCCGCTCCAGGGTGGGGGCCCAGTTCAGCCATACTGTTGTCCGTTGTCGGGCTCTCTCCCCATGTGCCTCTTGTTTTCCCAGGTGTCAGGATATGGGCAGGGCCCTCCTGGAGTTACACAAAGTTAACAGTGTCCAGTCTTGCCTTTGCGTGTGCATGCACACGGGACTGACTGACAGTAGTTACTGCCTCAGATTACCTTAGAAAACAATTGAGAGGACTTTTTTGAAGAATGACTCATCTGACATTTAAAACATTGTTGTTACCTTCTTATGAGTAGAATGTTTTCTGTATCCAGGACTGCAGGTTATCACTTAAGGGCTGGCTATTGAAATGAGTTAATATTATCACCTGTGTCACATTTACTTGGGGTTTTAAAAAATTTGCTAGCGAGGATTTGTTTTCTTTTGGGGAACGGAGAATGAGGAATACGTGGGAAAACTGAAAGTAAAATTATCCACCAGACGTGGTGGGTGTTGCAAAATGTTCCTCTTTCCTTTTCTGCCATCTTGAAAAGTCTAAACTCCCTCTGCAAAAATCATTGAAAGCCTTCGTGTATTAGGTAGTACTGTTGTGTAGGGATTAGGTTATTACCATGATTTGGAGAGACAAGTGAGACACAGAACTTTGTACGAATCATACCAGCTCACCGGGAATCATAGATTCTCAGCCTGATGGAGAAATTTCATTTTTCATTAGTAATATGATCCTCCACTGAGCTGCCTCCCTTTCATCTGTTTTTCCCCCACATAAGCATGCCACTTGAAAGAAACAGTTTTATGCTTATAACTCTTAATTGACTGTGGTTACCAGAAAGAGAGGGTAGCATGAATAGAGAAAAACTTGAAGATTGCCCTGAGTTTTATTTTTCCAATGTCTGCCTTTCACCAAAGTACCTTCTTTTTAGTGATGCTAAACATTGTTACACTGTTGACTTGTCGTGTCTTCTGTGTGTGTGTGTGTGTGTGTGTGCGCGCACAAGATTCCAGTAAAGCATGAAATGCTCAGAGACTGGTAGGAAGTAGAACAAGGCCAGGCGAGTTCTCTGGGTGACCTGGAAATTCCCTTGAAAACCTTGTCATTTTTCTTCCTCAGTGTTTTAGAAGGAGAAAAGACAAAGCCACAAATTAAAACTATGAACCACATCTTCCATCCAGCATGCTTAGTTTTTTCGGGAGCTGTGATGGGTTCAGCCAATGCCTCTACTCCCGGGCTCTCAGACTGAGGCAGCCGCCCATCCTGGAGCCGGTGCTGGGCCCGCGCCCGTCCCCGACAGATGGCCATCCAGCCCTGCTGGAGCTCAGCGACGATGCTCAGCGACGGCTCGAGTAGGCCAATCCCATTTTTGGAGAAAACAGATTGTTAGAAAGCTCTTCCTTAAATAGAGTCAGATTTTTACATTTCTTCAACTTCCTTCCTTTGGCTCTCATTTTGCCCTCTGGGCCTGTGCTGAGTAGGTCAGATCCTGTTCTGTAGTGTGTCAGCTCTCTCATAGGCTTGGTCTCAGGTCAGGCAGGCAGTTCTTGGGAAACAATCCTGTTAAGCATTAGGTATTGTAAAAATACAGATAAAATGATGTTCTGAACTCGTGTATTGAGTATAGCAGTTGATCTGCATAGCCAAAAGGCCCTTGGGGATCAGTATCCCCGTCATGAGGGAGAAATATCCCCCATTTCTCCCCTTTTTTTGTTGTTGTTTTGATCTCTTTATCATGCTCACCTAGAAGTTTTTGTTGGACAAAGGGATCTTGTTATATCAGCATGAGTTTTCCCTTGCCCTATTGAGCTGCATCCAATAGAAGAGGAGGCACCCCCTGACTAGGTCTCACCATCATGCAGTAACTTCTGTGCACTTCTGTGCAAAGCTTGTAGATGTGGCATTGCCAAGAAGGAAAGTGAGAAAGCTTTCCGTAGCCCCTCCTGCCTCTCAGTTGTTTTTTTGTTTGTGTGTGTTTTGTTTTTTGTTTTTTGCTAAAAAGATAGGAGCCAAAGTGTTCATGGCTTCCTATTATTGTTGGTGATGATAACTAAATAGGTAAACCATCAGAATGACAGTATGACTTCAAGCCAATTATGCAGCCAGCAGAAATTATCCCTGCTGTGTATTAGGAGTGAACAAACAGCCTCAAAAGCACACCACATGTATACTGACCACGGTTTGTTTTTGTTTTTATTTGTGTTTTTTGAGACAGGGCCTCACTCTGTTGCCTAGGCTGGAGTGCAGTGGCACAATCCCTGCTTACTGCAGTATTGACCTCAGGTGATCCTCCCACCTTAGCCTCCCTAGTGTCTGGGACTATAGGCATGCACCATCACACCCAGCTATTTTGTATTTTTTGTACAGACAGGATTTTGCCATGTTGCACAGGCTGATCTTTAACTCCTGGGATCAATCTAGTAACTACTCGTGGCATCATCCACATTTGCCATTTTTACTGCTTTGGGAATCCACCAAATTCATAAATCCATGGTAAGATTCCTCCCTGCTTTGGAATAAAATGGCACCGGCCTCCCCAGCAAAGCCACAGTGTTGTGTGTTGCGTCTCCAACTGTAGATTACCCTAACTCTGTGTACTTCTCTCCTGCTTTCTTGTACTCATTTGCTGTCCTGAAGTTGGTAATAAACTTAATTTTGTCACATACAGTATTTTGTAAGGGTAACTTGAGGAAAGACATAAGTACTTTTGACAAAAAGCTCTCTCATGAGAGTATTTACCTTCTCTCTCTGCAATAATTTAAAATTGAATAAAGCAACCTGAGCACTTATTTTCACATGGGCAAAATGTTTGTGTACTGGATCTCCTCTCATATTCAGCTTATGATCATGAATAGTCAGAACTTTGCCATAGATAACAGGGAGCAATGATCAAGCACTGTTTCTGCTGGCAGAATCCAGTTGATGTTTTTGAAACGCTCAGACTGCACAGCTCTGAGCTTAGCGGAGAGTGGTTCTGGGCTGAGGTCTGGCCTTGATACTGCAACTCCACTTAGAAAATCGTGCAGGCGAGGTGTTGTAAAAGCACTATGCTACATCTTTTGAGATGGGGAAGCTGCTCCCAGGGAGGTATTTTTCAAAGATTTTCCCTCAAGCTACTGAAGAGCAGTTTTTCGTTACTACTTTATCACACCAGCTGGAGCCCTGCAAGGCCCCAAAGGTTAATTCTCTTTTCAGTGGTTAACATAGGCTTAAGGGCTGACTCACATTACCCAAAAAGTTATGGTTCCATTTACAACCTGATCATATCCTCAGGAGGCTTTGTTCACAGGCCCACCTGCCCATGGCTCACCCTGCCACCCTACCCACCTGGAACTTCTGCACCCAGCGTGACCTGCCCCAGGGCTTACTCGTCACCATTCCTGCCAGCGGGACCACACCTAGGCCTAGGGTGGTTAGAAACTTGCCGTGATCAGCTCCAGAACTCGTACCTCTGTGATCCAACCCAGAGCTGGGAGCACAGAGGCTACTGAGAGGGCTCCCTAATGCTAACTGTGAAATAGCCTTTGCACTGGTTTGAGCTGATGCTTTTGGATGGGGACAGGGTGGCTGGCACCCATGGGTGAAATAGACAGGGTTCTAAGAGGCATATCCATGCTAGGATCAACTTTGGAATTGAACTGATCAAAGTCACAAAGGAATACAGCTGTAGGATTGTTACATAAGATCCAAAAGCAGTGAAAAGCAACACTTGGTGTTACAGTTAAGATTACAATACTCTGGAGGGAGGAAGGCAGAGCCTCAGTAAAGGTACAAGGGCTTCTGTCTTGGTGATCTTGTTTCCTGGGGTCTGTGGGGCAGGCTTATGGGCACACCTGCCTTGCAGGAGTTTGCAAAGCTGACTGCTTATTTCTCTTGTTATTATACTTTCGTTTTTAAGAAATTTATTTTAGAAAAATATCAGTTCAAAACAACAATCAGGGCCGGGCATGATGGCTTATGCCTGTAATCCCAGTGCTTTGGGAGGCTGAGATAGAAGGATCAGTGGAGGCCAGGAATTCGAGACCAGCCTGGGGAACATAGCAAGACTTCGTCTCTACAAAAAACTTTTTTTAAAAAAATAGCAGAGCGTGGTGGCACGTGCCTGTGGTCCCAGCTACTTAAGAGGCTGAGTTGGGAGGACTGTGTGAGTCCAGAAGTTGGAGGCTGCAGTGAGCAGTGATTGCAACACTGCACTCCAGCCTGGGCCACAGAGTGAGACCTGTCTCAAAAAATGAACCATAAAAAAACAAAAACAACCATTAGAACAAAATGTCAGAACTTTCAGAGTTCCTGCATCCACTGGGGTACCCTACCCACCAAGTATCAGCCTCCACCAGAGGTCAGGATGGACAGAGCCCCTGCTCTGGCGGAGTGTATACGTTCCGCACAGGCTCAGGGACCCGCGAAGCTGTGAGCGTCTCAGAATGAGGAGGGGTGTCATATTGCTGGAGGGACATTCACAGGGGTGCATGGAGGATGATGCACCCCTGTGAACCAGCCTCCCTGGGCTGTGCACAGGACTCAAGCGTCTC